TTGTCCCTGACATTTGTGGAAAACAAACAGAGTGCCATTTTAAACAATGACCAGTCCACTCTGACCTTTGCTGGGAGGCCAATTGCTCATGAACAAATCACAATGTGACACCGTGCCAGCTATTACACCATTGTTTGAACAATCAGTGCATTCAGAACAATAAACCCCCAGAAGAAACGGTGCCTGCAATCACCCTCATTTTGCCAGGAATTACATCCCCACAGAAATATATAACATACGTTTTCTTAAGTGCTATTTACACAAATCAGTTTTATCAAGATGGGTGAAAACACAGGGGTGGAACTAAAACGCTGTAAAAACAGTTTCATCTAAAAGCACAGTTAGCTGAAGCAATTAATTTGTGTGATCACAACTTTCGAAGTAAAACAATATTATAATTAAAAGTTATGGTCCCCACAAGATGAAGCCTCCTGACATTTTCACAAACTTTTAAAAACATTAGAAGAATTGGGTACATGGAATAGTCCAAAAATGTCTTTTCTCGTGTGTTTTAGGCAACCTAGCTGGATAGGTAGGATGTCCAGGAGATACAACTCCATCTTTTTCACACAAGGTTGCAATCAGATATCAGTCTGTGTAGTAGGAAGTTGGCAGGGTAAAGACCCTTCAATGTTCAGTGGGATGCATGAAATACTTGCATTCTCAAATGCATCTTCATCTTCAGGCACTTTGCTGATTTCTCCAATATCATGACAACTTGAGAGCCATTGGATGGATTGTGCCATGAAGAGACCTGGTACAGACCTATATAGCACAAAGGATGACAAAATAACATTGCTGACCTCATTTTTCGACAGTGCCATCAACAAAAAAAAAAACAAAAACATGGCAGATCCATCGATATTTGCTAAGGAGCTGGTTACCATTGTAACTCAAACACTGTGATTGGCATCACTGTAGAAACTTTAGAGTTTATTAAATTTTTAATTGATGAAAATATAACTGTCAAAATGGCATTCAAGGGGTTCAAAGCCTATGTCATTTATACATGTCATTTTCTATCCATCCATCTTTGTAACCACTTATCCAGTTCAGTGTTGCTGGGGGCCACCATAGCGCCAACATAGAAAGAGAGAGACCCATATTCTTTTCATACTCATTTGCACACCCATATTCATCTAATACACTGTAAACAATGCAATACCTACACACGTGCTACTGTAAAATAGCAAATGACAAAGTTCACAGGTTAGAGTCAAATGTCAATCATATATATTCCACCCCGTAATATTCTTTATATTTTTAGTTGAGCGATTTGTATATATTAATGCCATTTCTTAAATTTGCAAACTCTGTAACATATTGTATTATTTAAATAGTTTAGTCTGTTACTGTTACTGTCTTGGAGTAACTGTAAGTCACATAATTTCCCAAGGGATTAATAAAGTATTCTAATTTTGATTCATGGTATGCATTTTTACCATTGTTCTATTGTATAAAATTAGGTATTGTTTACAGTATTTTAGATACATTTGAGCCAATGCAACACTCGCTGAGAGCAGGAACAATGACACTGTAAGCTCAATGGAGATTGTCTTTGCTACTACAGATTAAAAAAAGGTTGTGTAGCTCATTGGCTTACTTGTCACCTGTATAATCATGCCTCTAAGCTGGGGCAGCAAAAATAATTTGCTTGGAAAACAGCTCAGCTGATGTAATCTACAATCACAATAAACCCTAGATTTTTGGTTGTTGCCAATTTGGGAATCTCCTAAATATCCAAAAAGAAAAAAACAAAACAAAAAAAAAAACTTAATAATGTGACTCATTGACCACAGACTTCATGTTTAGCTCCTGCTCTTGTCATGGAGGCTCCGATGCTAGCATATTGATTCACTGCAGCGTCATAAAAGCCATATAGGGTCAAATGTGAATTTGTTAAAAATAACTACAACAGATGAAATTAAACAACAACATAGAAAATCTTAAGCTTTAAGAATGAAAATAGCCAGTATCCGAGACGGGCTATTGATCACCAGTGCATGCAAACACGTTAAGATCACAAAGTGTGTGTACACAGGAGGGAATAACGATGTCTGAATGTGACACGTGTGTCATGGAATAAGACCATAAAGAGCAAAGAGGAAATATTTTTTTTTTAAACATCTTTATTTAAACTTTTAAACTTAAAATGAAAGCAACAAATAACAGGAGACAGGACAGAAAAAAGAAAGAAAGATTGAAAGACTAAAAGAAAGAATTGATGGATGTAAAGAGGGAAAACCATGCCAATACAATAACCACCAGACTTTGCATCACATCTCAGCCTACTCAAGTTTTCTGTGCACAGATCAAAAATAAACTCTTTTTCTCTACCTTTAAAAGTAAAGTAAAAGTCCTGCATGGCTTTGCTCCTTGCCTGATGCTTGGAGTGTGAGCACCAGGATACTTTGCATAGAACCAAAAAGTCGTCGTCCAGACTTTATGTCCCATCACCATAATTAGTTCTTTCTTGTATACCGTATAGGCGAAGAAATCTCTTTAAGAGTGAATGAATGTGATCACAGCAGTGAAAAATCTGTCTCAACCGTTTCTATATTAGATGATATCTTGTATCTACAAATTTTGTGATTGTCAGGTTGGGTAGAAAAGAGGATTTCACCCACTTCTGCTGATAAAATCCACTGCACGTCTAACACAAGCATACACACAGCTAACATAATTTACCCCCCATCCCAAAGCCACACAGTGGCACAGTAATACAAACCATCATATTACAGTTGTTATGTCCATAATGGCTCATTATTACTGTTAATAATATTATAATATTGCTTATTACAAAGCTAGAGAGATTTACAACAAATATAAAGCAGAAGTGGGGTGATCAAGGTCCTTAAAACCTCGCAGCATCCGCAAGCTGTCTTTTTTACCCTTCAACTGCAACTATACTATGGTGAGTCTGTACAGCAAATGCCAGAAAAGGATGTATATATATCGGTGAATTTAAAGCCACTGAGGACTACTACTAATTAAAGAGTTATACAAGGGCACACACATCCACCGATCCTGGAGCACAATCCCCATGGCAACAAAACGGCTTGAAACAGAGCTACACAACACAGGCTCCTAAAGCACACTCTTCTATCAGTGCAAACACACACTCCTAGCTATTACAGTAAATAAAGGAGTTAAAGGGTTCACAGACCAAACTCACATAGTGGCATCAAACCATAAACATTGATTGGGTTGTACTATAACAACTGGTTTTAAGAGATTTTAAGAAAAATGTGCCTGAAAAAAAATAAGGCTTCATCTCAGTACAATGAATGGACATTTCTGAATAACTATACAGCAATTGAGCAGTGATACATCTATGCATCTTAGTCTCTATAAAGCACAAACTGTAGTGTCAGGACAATGTACACTACAGAGAGTTCTACTGGAAACTCTTCAGCGTGTCTTCTGTTGTTTGAATAACAGGGACACGTGTTCAGAGAATCCTTTTTCTAAAAGCCACAAACACTGTAGTGAAGTGCTGTTTGAAATCTCAAACGTATCTACGTAATGGTTTGCCGTCATGATACCACTACATATGTGAGTTTCAAATTTGCTTTAGGCAACCTATTTATTAAAAGGCATCTTTAGTGGTGTGTTTTTGTGTGTTACAGGTAGAGTGGACTTCAGAAACGCTGATAAACAAATGATCAATAGTGATGAGATGTAAACAGGTATGTAAAAAGGGGATACTTTTGCAGAGACTAAACGACAGTAACAGTTCACATAAATTAGAAGGCAGTGTACAAATTCAAAATTGGATGTGAGAGAATAAACGGAGAAGATAACTCTGATGATGAAATGACAGAATGACTTTTCCCAGTTCTCTCTTTTTAACTTAAAACATTAAAGCTCAGCTTTCTGTGTAATGTACTGTATTGGTGCCCAATGTTTTTGTTCTACACTTCTGCTTGTCAAATTGAAAATTCCATAAAAAATAAAGGTTTAACAAAGAAAAGAAAAGAAAAGAAAAGAAAAGAAAAGAAAAGAAAAGAAAAGAAAAGAAAAGAAAAGAAAAGAAAAGAAAAGAAAAGCAGGATGTGGGAAAACATACAGTGAGATGTTGCATGAGACTGGCAGGAACAACTTACAAATCGTAGGCACATCTATTGTTTCATTACAAATGTTACAGGTGGAAATGTTTGGGCAACTCTACCGGAGAGTTTGATATGACTGGCATTGTGCATCACTTGATGTGCATATCCCATATCTTTCACCATTATCTGATTGAGAATTAATACATTGAAATTGTAGAGCTTAAAAATAACTGTCCATGACTCCGGAGAGCGTCCAGAGGTGGAGCGCTGATAGTGCTGCAACAATAAAGAACAGCTCAGGCTGTGCGGTGAACTAAACGCCTTCACAGAAAAATGACAGCCAGCCATCAAGCACTGTGCAGGCCACGGATGGCATGCAGTACCACATACTGGCCACTAAGTGGAGGTGCTGATATAACCGCTCAAGCTGTTCTATGACCTCTAATTAAAGGGACTAACAGCTTCCTTTACGAGAAACATGGTGACAAGATGCTCACACAGCAGGTTTCTCAAGGCAGTGTGTGTCATATTTTTAAGCAGTGGACTGTTGCTCTTCAATGGCAGTGTCTATTATTGTCATTATTTTTTTCTACCTGCCAGTTTCTCCCACTAGATGCCTACTTGTGTGCATGGCAGGCTTCCTGTCAGTCTAACTTGAGCTTAGCAAAATTCTTAAAAAGATTGTCCTTTGGCAGGATTGTCAGTAGAGAATTCACAATAATTACATTATTTTACAGTTAAGTGTTTTTCTTTGAGTCCTTCTTGAGCTTACCAAACTTCTGTCTTTGGCTTCTGTGGAGCAAAAAGCTGGAGGCAGGGACATTCTTTTTTGTGTGAATACAGATGCATTATTGCACCAGACACCAGAACAATACTGGTTTACGGCCATACTCACACACACATACAATACAATAACTCCACAGAGAAATCATGAGACAGGAGCCAGAATTCCTTTCTCTGTCTGTCTTTCGATCCATGTATGGATGCATATATCCAGAGTGGCCCTCCATCACCTTGCTGTTTTCTGTTTACCAGAAAGAGAAGCCCAAGAATTCCAAATTTTATGCAGACAGGTCTGATATGACCAGTTTTTCCATTTTCCCAATTTCTCCAGGAACTTGAAGCTCCTCAGATTCATAGTCATCATCAAATGACCTGGAAACACAACAGAGATAACCGATTAACACCTTTATTCTTAATAAAAATGATAAACTTTTAGTTAATAACGTGAATGAGTGTGAACGTGTCTACGCCGTACCCCTCGTGCAGCTGTTCATTTGCAGTCTCCTCTGCCACTAGTATCTCATACTCCTCTGAGGCATATTTATCCCAGTCAGATGGTTCTGGACCTTCACTATCAATGTCCTGGAGCACCACAAACACAATACATATTGGTGTTTTATAGCTTTAGATAAAATACACAAAACTAAAAAAAATAATAATAAGAAGAAGCGAAGACGCTATATGGAACTAGAAAAAAATCCAGCCAGATTATACACTGTGGGGAGTCACAATTTCAAATCACTAATAACCTAACATGCATGCCTTCGAGTGGATCATCACAATATCAAGAAGATCCACAGTTATAGTTGAATATTCTAAATACATTTTGAAGATTTGCACCTTTTGCACAGCAAATGGGTCTCTCTGTTCATGGTCCAGGTACTTCTCCAGGTTGAAGAAAGTGTCAAAGAATATGTGAGCCATCCGGCAGCGTTTCAAGTCACTCAGAGTTATCTTACCTAAAGGAAATAAAACAAACACAAATGCAGGTGTAACGTCTCAAAAGCACAATGGGTTGTGTTTGGCCGTGTACTGATTAAAACGTAATCGTGAAATAAGAAAAAAAAAAAGACTAAGGGCAAGAAAGTTTGAGCACTAACCTGGGTTCTCAGGTTTGACCAAGTCGAGCATCTGGCAGAGCAAATCCTGAAAGGGTAGAGGCTCGATGCCCATTCTTTCCATCCTCTCACACTGTTCTTCATAAAAATACTCCAACTCAAACATGGAAAGGACACCATCACCATCCACGTCCATGCAGCGGAACCAGTACTCTATACTGGAAAGACAGGTAACAAATGTGTTACGCACAGACTCAGATTATTTGTTGCACACCTGCAGTGTACTAATCTAAACAATCACACACATATCGGAACAACTTTTCAAATACCTGGTGGGATTTTTTTTGTCTTCCTCAGATATCAGAAACCAGACAAACTCAGCGTAGCTCATCCTGCCTTCTCTCTGCACAGCGTTACCCCTGGAAAGAAAAGAGACAGAACCATTTAGATGCTCTACAGTTATTACAGTAAAGTAATTGGCTACGTATGCTCGTTCACGTGTGGGTTTTTACTCACCGAGTAACAGCCCCTGAAAATAATCTCTCAATGATTCTGTTTGAGGATGCTGTTAAAATGGGAGAATAAAAAGAGGAAGTAAATACACAGAAACAAGATGATACTGTTTGTAAATCAGTGAAAGCACATTAAAGTCAAACACTTAAGTACTGATTCAGACAATTCGATTTTTGGCTCAGTGCTCATATAAAGGATTAGAAAAACCCCAATTGAACTGCTATGGAGCTCTTTCAGCTGGGGGAAGTAAATCCTTAACTGAGATTTGTTTTCTTACCGTGGTTGTTGTATCTCCCCAGATCTTTGGGGTCAATGTACAGATCATGATCAGTGTCCAGCTCCCAAAACTTGCAGTAGATGACGTAAAAGTGTTCGTAGGAGAAGTAGTCAGTGATCTGGTTGATGTCGTCCTCTTCTTCCAGCAGGGCGAGAGTTTGAAGGAAATTACTCCGGCGTAGCTCCATCATTGTGATACGACCTTTCCATGACCGGTTCACTACATAGTATATCCGCTGGATCACCTGTGATAACATTATAGTAGAATAGCGACAAAGACAATTTTATTATATAATAGTTTTCATAAAATGTGCTAATAAAACGAAAGTAAAGCCTCATGATTAATGTAAAAACTTTTCATGATTAATCCTATAATTCAATATCTTCCAAATATCAAGACCTCACTATGTTTTTAAAGGGGGTGAGTTTATTAAATTATGAGGGACATCTTTCATAATTTCTGAAATTTTTAACATTACATTACCTTTTAACCAAAAAATGATTAATATAGCCTTAACAGTGGAGTAGAAAATTATTAATTCTTGATAAGGCTTTTAATAGAATTATTAATAATCCTATTCAGTAATTACAATCGCCTTTGCTGTCTTCAATTAATCATAGAAACTTTTTTGTCCAATTTAATTTATGTATTTGACATCTGGTGGTTTATGTATTGGTGATTCTAAAAAGTTAAAATCAAGGCAAGGTCTAAAGCGCCTTGAGGCGACTTTTGTTGTGATTTGGCGCTATATAAATAAAATTGAATTGAATTGAATTGAATTGAATTAAAACTGAAACTGTCAAACTAAAAAATAAAACATGACGACATTTTCACGAGGTCTGTACAAGCCCCGTCATCCAGATATATTAAAAATATTCCTCATCTAGCCAAGAGGAAGACCCACAACACTGGATTATCATCCATTTTCTGGTACATGGACCTCCATGGGTTACTAGCGTCTCATACAGTAGCACGTCAGTTGGTCTAAACTGAATAGGAAGTGTCATAAAATGGGAATGCAGGGGGTGTCTCTATGGAAAGGGATGGTAGGGAATGCATCAGTGTTTCCGTGAAGTCACCGTAGGCTGACGCATCGGTGCAGTGAAATCTCAGTACTTTTAAAAAGCAAACCCTCAGCTTGCACAGCTGTCCCCTTCTACATTCAAAGACTCACATGCTCTACTGTTAATATTACACAGCTGAGGCACACAGAAGCTTTTTCGCTGACAACTTAAGAGGAGATTATGAATACTGCTCTATAGTGAGAGTAGGAAGCAGGTGGAAGAGAGTGTGGAGAGGTGGAGGTATGTTCTAGAGATAAGAGAAATGAAAGCCAGTAGAAGCAAGACAGAAGAGGGAGGCAGGTGGAACAGTGAACCTGCAAGGAGCAGAGATTGTGAAGACAGATGAGTTCAAATACCACGGCTCAAATACCTAAGATTTTGGCTGAGAGTCACCAGAATGGATAGGACTATAATGCTAATCAGATTGAGTGGTTAGGAGACAAAATTAGACAGACAAGGCTGATATGGTCGGGACATGTACAGAGGAGGGTTAGTGGATATATTAGTCAAAGGATGTTGAAGATGGAGACAAAAACCACAGAAAAGATCAAGGTCATGCAGAGGGTTGACATAATGAAGGAGGATGCTAAGGCTAGTGGGAGTTGGAGGCAAATGTTCACTGTGGCAACCCCTATATGGGCTGCTCAGAGGCATAAGAATAAGGAAAAGGAGCAGGTTAAGGAAGAATATATGATTTGTTGGGTTTTTGTTGTTTTTTATAACCTCATTAAGTGATTTTTTTGGGATAATTGGATCATTTTTAGACCAAATGGTAGTTATGGAAAAATATTATTTTATTTGGGGCATGTTTTAGCTTTTATTTGGCATGAAAGAGGAGGCTAGATAGTAAGGTGGGAAGAATAGTATTCACAGCAGAGTCTGGCACAGACGTGAATTCAGGCTGCTGCAGGAAGGACTTTAGCCTTCAGTATAAGGGTCATTATAACTCAATCAGGTGAACTATAATGGTACCCCTAGGACAGAATATTAAAGTGTCATTAAACAGAAAAGATCTTGGGAGAGTTGATTGCTGTTCACTGTTACAGTCACGTTTTAAATGTTTCTGTTGTTCACTGGTAATGTGCTTGTACTTGTGAAGTTTTCTCATCCTGAAGCCAGTTAATCTAGTTTCCGTTACTTGCCTTTGGTCACGAGCTTTGGACATTTATTGAACAAACAAGGTCATTGATACATGTGGCCATAAAGAGCTTCCTCATTACTGTGGCGCTTAGTCTAGAACTGCTATTCCTTTTCAGTTAACAGAGCTTGTGAGATACGCTAAAATGCAATCTTACAAAGAAATATATTTTAAAAAACACGGCTGATCTCATTGGTTTTTGCCATTTACCGTTGTTATGTAGCGTGAATGGAATTCAGGTGCATCCTTCAGAAACGTGAGCCCAGGATGTGTATCTACAATGTCCTAATAAGGCAAACAGGAAAAAATTAGTACATAGAGTTGTCATAAAAATATAGTGTAGCACAGAAATAACAGAGTTGCTTATTTCATTTATATTGGGATGATATTTACCTGCAGTAGAGGAATAAAGTCTTCCTGCTCCAAGTAGTTACAGCCAGGTTTAGCCAGCAAGTAAACAAACTTTGAGGCATCGTCATGGCAACTGTGCAACAACCTGCAAGAAAGGAGAGGAGAGACATATGATATCAAAGCCCAGTTGCATCTGTTTTATTCTATTTGTAAGGCTTTAAAGAACATGCGCGTGTCTTACTTCCTCCAAGTTGCAATGAACGAGTGAACAGACGCAAAGCCCGTCCTCTCACCACCTGCTGCGTAGAACATGGGTGCTTTCCAGTAAAGTGGACACCCGCATGCCTGAATGGAAACACAACAACTGCCTGTATGACCTTACTCTGAACAACATGTTTGTTTCCTAGAGTTGCATTGCTTAGAAAGAGCACTGTTTTAACAAGGCCACTACGTGCAGTGATTTCTCAGGAAAAACAAAAGCCTTCTGGGAAATGTAAAGAAGTCTCAAGTCTCAATATGGATGTTGGCATTTCAACTGCCCTACTGGAATTAAATGTAGATGCTTGCCTTTGTCTTAATAAAGTTTGTTCTATTCTGAAAAACAGGTTAGGGGAAAGGTGTGATTTTACCTTCGCGACCTTGCCCATTTCATAAATATCAGCCTTCTCCTCCTCAAACTCGGTGAAGACCGTCTCAATGGCATGAATTTCTGCATCGTGGTTGGCAACTGGGCCCAGGGCAGGAAGCCCACGAGGGTAGTAGAACCTGGGAATGTTAACGGCAGGGGGAGGAGGGGTGACAATCACCGGAGCTGGAGGAGGGCTGGGTGAGCGTGGCGTTGGGGCTGGTGTGGCTGTGGTTGCAACTGGAGCGGGAGGAGGTGTTCCGGGTTTCTTTTCTGGTTTCGACTGGACCTGAAAAGAGAGAAGGGAGATCATGTGTGGGAAAGGACAAGCATGGATGGGTGTTAATTAGCTGTTTGTGGTCCTAACTTTAAACATCATATTTCAGCTTTTTTTGAGACAATGTTCCAATGACTGAAACACTGCAGTCTTGGTGGCTTACTGATTCAAACTACCTGCCTTAGTCTAGATGTAAAACGTACCTTGCTTCCCTAACTTTGTACGCATTTTTAATGAAAAGCACAAATAAGAATGAAGAATTTAATCACTGTCATTGATAACTTTCCCCTGAGCTGTAGATAAGATACAACTTCACTGTAGTATGATAGAGAAACTACGTAAAAGGTTGAACTGGAAACTCAAAGTGACTCATAAACAACACACAAGAGACTATTTTTCCTGCCATTCTGTTAGTCATAGATGAGTAAAAAGCGGTCATAAGTGCACTTTTATTTTAACCTTTGGCAAGAAAAGTTCCAGGTGGCAGAAGACACATCCATACAGTCAGTCCTCAGAAAAATCTCAGAAAAAAATGTATTACCAAATAACTTACATGGTCAAATTTACCCCAAGACCCCAATATTAGACTACATCCTAATGTGATAATTGGAAAACCAATTTTCCAGCGCTACTTATTAAAATATGAAGACCAAAACTGGAGCTTAATCAACACTGCATCTTAAATCAAAAGTCATTGTGTTCCCATAGGGACTTCTTGGTCTCTTCTCTTGGGCCTTCATACACTGTGTATTGAGCAGGACAGCTGTAGCAGTCCTCTCCTTCACACCGTTCATTCTGTCACTCTATTCCTGCACCTCCTGGCCTATTAATACCCAGCTGGTATCTGCCTCAGAATAGTTTGTCTTCCCTGGCATGTCACTCTGTGTGTGTTAGAGCAACCAGATGCATCTAATGTATGTGTGTGTACACAGATATACATTTGCATCTGCACATCTTTATGCGCTTATAATTATTATTTATTATTATTGCATGCACACTTGCACCCTGCCTGTCTTGCTTGTTGAACTGACTGACCTGTTGTTGCTGGAAAGACTTGATTCTTTTCTTGAACCGTGAGGGGAGGACAAAGTCACACCCCTTGGCCAGAAAGGCCAGCTCCCCCCTGAGGTCAGGGTCCCTCCGTAACGATGCCTCCTTGATCATCATGGTGGAGGCTGAGGCTCACAACACCCCACCAGACACGGACACTGATGTGGCTAACGACAGGGCGACTACAGATTCACCAGCTTGCCCAGCGAGTGATAAGAAAAGGGATGGACTATGATAGGTTTACCCAACAGCTCAGATATCCAGGAGCCAAAACTGGAAAACCACTTCAGGAAAGCAAAGAATATCCAGCACGTGTGGCATTTCATGCAAAGTGTCCCTTAGGAATTATTTGCACTCAAAATCGGTCTCCTTCAAACTTCACATTTATACTCATGCTCCCAACACTTTGTCCTGTGGGGCAGTAATCCAGCAGTGTTTCTATGTAAAAAGATGATCCTTAGACGTCCTGTGCTACAGTGCAGGACGGGAGGCAAAAACATGGTACCGGGCTGTTTTATGGCCCAATGCAATCCCAAATCGTAGCTTCTTTCTGGGGAAGAAACATTGTGGTGTCCCCCTGTCAGCTCTGAATGTATGTATTTAATGTAGCCTCACTGGTGCCTGCTGTTCCAAGCTGGGCTCTGACAAACTGCACTGAGAAACATGAGCCATGCCTGGCAATGCACACACATATAACAAACCGGCTGTCCTGAGCATTAGGGTGGTGGGAGGCGGGGAAGTGCAACCATGTCGCATATCTTGGCGTAGTGCTTTGCAGGATATGAGCCCTCCTCTGTTCCTGCCTCCTCCTGCCGACTAAAGTTAGCCAGTGGGAAGTTACAACTCAAAGTGACTGTGATTGAAATGATTTTACTGCAGACAGGAAGCTTAAGTTGGTGCTTCAGGGTGAGTGGGTTGGACAAGCAAGCTGAAATATTTTCATAGCGGTAATTTGGGAGGCAGTGTTGAATCAGCGAGCGAGACACCTGTCGTTATATCTGTTGACAGAATTTCCACTGGGCTGCTCAAAGACTCAATGCAGCATTCCCTTTTGAACATACTGAAAATCCACAAGTGTCACCCTGCTTTAGAGCCAGTCAGTGCGTTTTTTAAATAAAAAGAGTTTCAATTATTCATCCAGCCATTTGTCAGTAAAACAAAATCACAAATCCAAAGCGACTACTGACAATCTTCCATAATACAAGGTGATGTGGTTATCCCGCTAAGTTTCTCAAACAAAATCATCAGCTTACTGTCACATGAAAGAAAGAACAAACAGCAGCTTCTCTTAAGAACAGAGGATGAAAAAGGAACCGTTCGGCATTTTTTACTCGACTTACAGATTCTCAGAATAGATGAATTATTAATATATATATATATAAAAAAAACAACAGTAAATCCTTACATTTGAGAAGTAGTAAAAACAAGGAACCATGATTTCAGTTATCAAATTTTATTAAAGTAATCACCTCTGCATCTAGTTTTCTGCAAAATCAACAATGCAGAAGTAGCAGTTGAATTTTTGGGAGTAATAGATTTACTGCTGTCTGTTTCTATGCTCTTTAATGTATGGACACCAACGGTTAGTAGCAATATCCAAATGTGAAATATCAAACCACATTACTGCTCCTGAATGGCAAATGAATAGATACATGGACAGTACTGACAAATTTCCACGGATGGTGATAGCTAATTAACAGTGAGAATAAAAAGAGCATAAACTGTCAGCAGTGTGACCTCGAATGCTCCCTGAAAGGCTTCCCTTAAATTTACCGAGGTTGAGCTAAAAGCCTTTCGATGCCAAGCAACACCAATCTCAAGCTGAACAGAGAGGGGATCCCTCAGGATGTACAGGGTGACCCATTTTAAATCTGTCCAGCTCAAATACCTAGAAGTCTAGGACAGTACACAAGATATCCGCACATACTGTACTTGATACATCATGACTGCCACTAACAACTTTATTTAATACACTGCGTTACTTTCATCTTGGTCCAATGGTTCGTTTTATAGCTTGAACAATTCCCCCCGTTTTTCTACTACTGTATTTTTTCCATTTGTGACACTATTGTTTCTTCCAGTTTGAGCCATACTGCATACAGAAAGGTTCAGTGTGCATGCATGTGTGTGAGCAGCTTTCCAGAAAAATAAATGAGTCACCTTGTATTTTAGGGTAACTCCTCTCAGATCCCTGTGTGCCTTGCTGAATTCTTTGGAACAGCTGGGATCCATACTGAAGCCAGGGTTGCATACCAATCCCACACACAGATACAGATACTGTCACATGCACACATTGTCTAATGTTAGCTACCTATTACCTCCATGCTTCAGAGGGAAACATTATACAGGAAATATATTGTATCACTCAACAAATGTGCACTAGAGTCTCACCAGCCTATTATTTCATGTGAAATCCCACCCTGCTTTTTGACCCTTTTTTTTCTAATTTCTTTCATCCTGGTCAATGAAAGGGAGTTCATTCTCTCCACTTCCTCTGCACAACCTCTTCAGCTGTAGCAATGAGCTTGTGATATCATAAATCTCTGTATAAAGAGTTACAGTACTTGTGTGAGAGTGTAATGGGAGCCAGAAAGGAATGCCACCAGGCAGCTGTGTGCTCTTTTCCTGTGACTGACAGTCAGTGTAACCCTGCCCTGTCAAAATTGCTCCGTTTGGTCCTAAAACCCTTGTTCTTAAATCTTAAATCTTAAATTTTCCTCCTTGAATCTTGAATGTTCTGTGATGATTAGCCTGCTATTAAAGATTTAAAAAAAAAATAACAGAAAAAATGAATAAAAACAACCAATTTACTAAGCTCTACAAACTGTAAAACTCCAGAGACGGTCCATGACAGTATGTAAGAAGTTAGTGAGCTCAGGTGACATGAGAACACCCACTGGGACAAACTGTTCCTACAAGAAGGGACACATGAGGCCAACAGAAATGCAACGTCAAGGCAGAATTTTGACTAGTTAATTACTCAACTTAAATTAAATAATTAAATAGCGTAGAATTTCATATTCAAGCTGTACTTATAATCAGCTTGAATATGAAAATCTATATGAAATGGATCTGATTACTGAGCATAGACAAGACAATGTGCTTGTGTAGTTTCTCTGCGGTCTACCAAGCATGTCAACATCTTTTAATTTAGTTGTTTTAATTAAAAAAGGAACAGCTAAATTGTATTCATTACACCACAATGTTCTAAACAAATAGCTGGTGAACTTAATTGAGTATTAAGGAGCTAAACAAACAAATGTTTCCCTCATGTTGGACCAAAACATCTGATACCGACTCATTATCAGATGTATCCTTCTGACACTGACTCAATATCAGATGAATACAATAACAGAGAATGTATCCACCTGGTCCTGACTCAAACAGTGGGACCAGTTAGATCAGACAGACTGCTCTGACAACAGGATGATCTATTGGGAAAGACTATTTGGTCATCTTATCAAGTATGTTGCACATCAGCAATCTACTCATAGCCCCTTACATGTCACTTTGAATATGTTCTAAGCTGTAAAAAAAAAAAGGATTTGTTGTTGTTGAGCATCCTGCTTCCTTCCTGAATATATTTGGTTTGAACCTACTTTTTCTTACACAGACAGGAGACAAGAAGCATAACAGTGAAGAGAAACTCTGGCGGCTGATGGAAGCTTAACAGGAACAAAAGGCAACATAACAGGTGTGTGTGTGTGTGTGTGTTATGTCTGCAAGCTTTTCTCTGCCCACCCCTCAGATCTAATCCAGCCTCACAGCCACAGAAACAGGTGAGTCAGCAGCCTTCACAGCACTGATCAAATAAATGCACGATGGGAAGCACAGCAGGTCAGCTGTCGAACAACAACTGCCGCCTTCATCCAACTGTTGGCACACTTGACACGCACACGTGTGCTCCTGCAGTCTTTACTAGTGCATTGATACATGTCTCTAATTTGTCGGGGCATATTACA